TTTTTCTAAACACCAATAATTATCTATTTTTCTTATTTTAATTTCCATAATCTCTATGGCTCTGATACCAAATTAGGAGACTACTTAGAGCGAACAAAAATCAAATAAATCAAATAAAAATATTAATCAAATAAATCAAATAAAAGTTACCAAATTTCAACCAATATTTAATTTTAAGGACTAAATTAGAAAATTTCTATTTTATAATGCCTTGCTATGTAATATTCAAATGGAAGGCATTTTTGGTATGTAAATTGTCTAAGGATCATTTGGGAAAAGTAACCCTTTTGAAAATGTTATTTCCATATATTTTCCCACCTAATTGATGTATCTAATATATATAAGTCTGGCCAAAAGCAAGTCGCTAAAATTGAACACGAAAAGAATCTTGAAGAAGGTCGCTATTTTACGATCTCTATCGGTGACTATTCATCCAATTTGGCTAGAATTTTCGATGGACAATTTTTCGAATGCATTCCAGTGAAATCTAATACATTTGAATAAATTAAACATTTTATTACATATAATAATGAATAAGCTTAATGTTAGTTCCACAAATGTAATTTAACAAAAACTGAACGACATGATTGAACAAATTATAATCCAAATTCCTCAAAAAAGGGGTCCATCGCATATTAAATTTAAATTTACTGACGAAGATAAAGTTTTAGTCACGTTACATCAAATTAAGTTCAATGAATCCAGATATAACGATAGCATCTCATCGCCAACCAACCAACGATCCGTTCAAACTTGCTAGAAGTAGGGAAAAGAGTGAGTATATGAGAATACTCAATAAGATGCGAATATTTGCATAATACCGAATGAAAATATCAATTCATGCATCAAAATAACCATAACATCATATCATATCTTTAGAATCCGATAAGAGCTTATACATATCATATCATTGATACCCTGTGGCCATTATCATATATCGTACCAATCATGTCAATTCTTTAATATAATAGTTATAAAATGAAGTAAATAAAATTAAACGGGACAAATCATTGGCACCTCGAAATAATTTTTGAAATAAAAGCAATAATTTCACATTCCACAACCTTCTCTGATGCCGTGTGTATATGCGTGTTTGATCCGGTAAAACATATCATGAATCTTTTATTCCCAACTTGGAGAACTTATTTAAGGTAAACAATAATCATTCCTTAAATCATGTGAGATACACGTGTAAACAATCTAACATTTTCCTATCACATCCAGGAGCGGACCCACACGGGATCATGTGGGGTCAAATGACCCCACAAAACTTTGCCCTTCCTTTTCCTTTTTTTTTTTATTACAATTTGCTTTTATGTACTCGTTATTAGATATCAAATGAAGTCAAAATATTGCATTCTTAATATCATTTCGAAGTACTCATTGTAAGTGTTATGCCCTAAATCCAATCGATTTAGATTGTAAACGCTTTTAATATATTTAATGCATTTGTTTTTGGCGAGATCTATTATTTATTTAAATTAATTTTGTAATAAATGATATTAAATAATAGAATCCGAAGACCCAATTTTAGGTAATCTGTTAATCACAAGGAGTTGTGATTGTGAGATACAAATTACATATAATTGGATCTTGAATAAACCATGGTCGTAAGTAATAACGAGATACGAATATCGTTAATACAGTTAGACCATCACGTGTGGCATTTCTTACTTATGAAGTAAATAGCTGATCTCACGAGCTAAAGTGTGGTGACACTTAAATGAACATGTGGATGTTTTGTTGTAGAACAAAACATTGGAGACCCGCTAAGAGATTCCACATGGATAACTATCTGAGTGTCAGTGGCTAATCTCTAACGTTCGATAGTGGGATTGATCATTTGACTTGAGGTCGTCATAGTGCCTTATATGAGGATGTCACATTTTAACGGTGTTGGATGTTGCTCTGCCATGGACCGCTAATATGAAGGTTGTGAATGATCAATAGAGGATTAGTCACTATTAGATAACTTTGGCGGTGTTGGATGTTGCTCTGAAAGGGGCCGCTAATACGACATCGTTCGGGTGTGTCAAGAATCGTATGAAGGTTGTGATTGATCAATAAAGGATTCGTTACTCTTAGATAGTAGGAGATTATGATCTGTGTTTCATTCAATTAAGTCGATGATGAAATCCTTGGCCAAGGTGTACTCATAAGTCGAAAAGGAGTTTTCGATTTATGTTGACTTAATAGTGAAATGAAAGATATGATCGATGATCGAGATTGACACAATTCCATATCTAGTAATTGATCGGATCGTATTGACGAAGGGATAATAGTTCCACGGTGAACGAACGAATTTGGTTTTGTCATACCACGTGACATTTCCCGTCATATGTATTGCCCTGACACATTGCTAGATGTCAATCAGGGACGGCGAATGTGAATTGACGATAAATTAAAAGAGTGTATTAATTTATCGATTTTGATTAGATCAAAATAATATTTCACGACGTTAGGCATCGTGGTCGGGAACCTAATGGGTCGTACACAAAAGAGAATTGGAAGACTGCAAATTGTTAATTGATTAATTTAACAATCGTTGGATAAATTAATTAATTGAATTTCTTATTTATAATCCCGAATTAATTAATTGGATTAATTAATTCACGGACCGGGTTTGATTAATTGGATTAATTAAATATTGGACCGGACCGGGCCGGGTCTGTTTGGGTTTATATATATATGCAGCTAGGGTTTGAGGTCCATTAAGTTATTCATTATTCTTGCTAGCACAAGAAAGAAACCCTAGCAGTTGCTGTTTTCTCTCTGTGTGGATTTCATTGGAGGCTGCACAATTGGACAGCTGTAGGAGGCAGATTCAAGCTGCTGGAAAGGGATAACGCGAAAGAGTTTGCAAATCACACAAAAAGTATATTTCTCATCACAGTTTTTATCTAAATACAAAGCTGAATCCTGAATGGGAATTGAAATTTGTTAAATTCCGCTGTGCATATTTAAGTAAATTCCCAACAGTACCACAGGAATTTAATTTCCAAACAGAGAAGAGGGTTCAACATAACCCACCAATTGAACTCTTAAACAAGGTAAATTTGATAACTACCTATGTACTTCCTAGATTGAAATTGTATTATAGAACTATGAACCGTACCTCTATTTTTGTAATCGTTTGGCACAAACAAGAAGAGGTGCAGTTCTACGCTTCTTAGTTTTGCAACTATCAAGTGCATCCACAAACACTTCTTTTTAGGCTCTAAGCAATTAAATCATTGAATGATTGGGCTTCTGGTGACCCATCTTCCCTCTGTTTTGAACTAGCTCTCCCTGGCATCTGATGACCAACCAACTGCTGGTTCACAGACAAAATTGCCATTGCCATACAACAGCATACCCATTAAGGTTCCATTTATTCGTTCTTATTCATAAATTCATTATTACTTAACATTTAAAGAATACGAGGTACTTCATTTTGACGTTCTTGATTGAGTATTTATTTTTGTCACAAGGGATCAAAAGAGAATAGATGGACTTCCCTCCAGCAAGAACACGAGGTAACATATTCTTGTATTCTAATAGCCTTAATGATGTGGTCGAGTCTCTTGTGTGAATTTTTTTAATCTTACCAGTCATGGTTATAAGCTGTTTTTCTTGCGTCTTTAACAGATAAAACTAGTAGTGAAACAAAAACTAACCTCCTTTGGAGGGAAGCAGATTCCAAGCGGCCCTGATGGGAGAAAGGAAGCTGGTCCTGTTTCTGGGATTAACAGGTATTTGATTTGTTCTCTTTATGTTTATATTCAATTAGAATGCACAAATATATATATATAAAATCGATTCTGAATTGCCAACAGGGGTATGGGCATTCGCTAAGAGTAAAAAAGCGATTTTTTCTCATATGATATTCGTGGTGGCCGTCAACCTTCAACCTCTTCCATTCTAATGAAGTTGCAAGGTCAATATTGGATATTGACAAGTACATAAAACATCTCGTATCAGGCTCTTTTGCATGCATGCATACAAGATATGAAAGTTCATCAACTATGAAGTGTGAAAGTCAATTTTGTTACATCCCAAAATGCTGATATTGTCACAGATTGTTCATTTGATTGACAATAAAACAGTTGTAGGTTAAAGTTGTACAGTCAATATACCCTTGTTCCATATACAACAATCTTGTTAGTTGTTACCAGGTGATTAGCTATGTTGTTACATAGTTCTGTCCGGCATCAATTGCCAACTCTTGGTCATTGAGAAATGGTTTTCATTATCTTCACCAACCAATTATTGATTGTTATTGTGAAAATATTTTATTCTAATTGGTTTACTGACCAAAGTTTGGTTGGTCAACCAACTTTAAATCATTATTAGTGGCCAAATTGAAGGCCTTTAGCTATTACATGTTGGTCGTTGGAAGTTATATATATTGCGACAATTTTGTATTGGTCGCTAATGACGTTCACTGATGGTGAATCAACCAATTTTTAGAGTTTTATCAGCCCACCAAAATCTCTTTAGCCACCAATATTTGGTCATTGAAGGCCTTCACTGATGGTGGATTAGTGACCACTCAATGACCACAACTATTTGGTCGCTAAAGGTCTTCATCGACTAGGAAATAACCTTTAGCAACCATGTTTTTTGGTAGTTTAATGTGTGGGTTGTTGAGTTTTTTTATTTTTTATTTTTTGGTAGCGCAATTAAATGTAAGACCAAATATGCATTCTAGGTTGCTTAAAGCTTCACTAGTGAAATTCAAAAGAGTTTGGTTATCTAGATTAGAATGTATTAAAAAGACTAATTCACCGATAATAACTTAAAATCTTATTTAAGTTTTAAACCGATGCAATTTAATTTTACGTATCAAACATAAATACATCCTTTGATACCTCACATACCTATGTAAACAAAAACTAGATTGCACATTGTAACACTGTTAATGCGATTCGAGAAAGTTTTTACTTTTAAGTTCATGTTTGACAACCATTACTTGAAAATTTATGTTTCTATATACTTATTTTCAACCAAATATTACACAATATTTTGCACATAAATTCTAAATTTTTTCTTATTTTTTAACTACACGCTTTTCTTAAATTCACTATTTAAATCCCAAATGATGGTCATGAAAAATGGGCAAAGCATTGTCCACTTTTTACTTAATTAGAGATTAATGCAGCGTGTTGTTAGTACAAGATACGTTAACATTACTTTTGTAAGATTCACATAATAGACGTTACAAAATTTTACAATGACTATCGATCCTTAATACACTTTCCTTTATTTGACAAAACTTTTTCAAATTATAAGTTGATGGGTCTCATGAAATGTGTATTTAAATAGTAGATAAATGTCTTGGGTTTAGTAAAATGTGTGGTTAAAAGTAAAGCCCCCCATCAAATTAAATTTCATTTTTCTCTCTCCTATTTTAATCACACAATCTTCTATAAAATAATATTATACATAAACTGAAAACCTTTCTTTCTTTTTTAACCACTCATTTAAAAAAAAAAAATATTATTCCACCCATTTTAACTTGGAAAAATGGGGGCCAAACATGTGCAAAATTTAACCTACTTAAAATCTGAAAAAAGTTTTACCAATCAAATGTCAGTCTTGAAACTACATACACATTATTGATTTTAAATAAAAATGTTTGTTTTAGATTTATTTTGAATAGATCCTAATTTTGAAGGAAGTTTACCGGGCGACGGCTTTCATTTCCAACATCTGCCAAATGGAATCTTGATTAGCTTCCTAATTTGCTGCCTTATTCGGCCAATACCAAATAAATCCCACACCAAATAAATTTATTTATTTTTAACAAATTAAACTTTTCAAAAATTAAATTTAAATAAATAAATGTATCTTCACTCTAATAGCGCAATAACTTAAGCTTTAGGATATACAATGGTGCTTGGTGTGACTCTCGACTCTATCTATTTATACAGAGCGAATTGTCCAAATGGTCACTAAATTTTGTAAATAGTTTTCAAGGTGTTATTGAACTTTAAAAATCACCTAAGTGGTCACTAAATTTTGCAAAAGATTTCCGAGGAAAAACCTTGCAAAGTCCTGGAAATTTTTTTGCAAAGTTCAGTGATCATTTGAAAAATTCACTCATTTATACATGTTTTGGATTATTAGTTTATTACTACTACTAGAGCGAGCAATGCCGCATTTAGCCGGCTGGTTCATCATTTTCGAGGGCTCTATATTCAACTATATAAATCAAGGCCAGCTGAGCCATAAAAGCATCCATCCTGCACAGGCAAAATATAGGCAAATTATAAGCAGTTTAAGTAAGGTTTCTATTGCATCAAACTAAGTTCTAAAAATGTCTTCAACAGTTTTCTTGATTGCATTTTTCGTCGCGATAGTTGCTTCTTCAGCTTTAGCGATCGAATATGTAGTTGGAGATGATGCTGGTTGGAAACTCAACTTCGATTACCAGAAGTGGGCTGAGGGAAAACAGTTCGTCGTTGGAGATAAACTTAGTATGCTTCTGTATTTTTATGTTCCTTTTTAGTTTTTACTTATTTAAACTTAGGCTTATACATCAACTTATTTTTAGTATGGATTGTAACTTATTACTGTTGGATTCGGTCTTTATCAAAGTGTTATTTCAAGTTGTGAATTCACAAAATAACATTGAATAAGGTCACTCGTCCAAGTTTAAAAATAAGGGAGTAAAGATATAGACAGATGTGTCAGAAAATGATTGGATGTTTTTTTTAATTTTTCAAACTGTCTAATTATGCATCGACAAGTGTTCCATCTGGATTTGAGTTTGAATTTTAGCTTGAATGTGTAGCATGATTGATACCATTAAACTAAAAACTTGGCAGGAGAGTTCTTGTCGGAAAAATTAACTCCATTTTAAATTTCCCAATTATTGAGGAAATACTAGTTTTTTTTGCCTGTTTTCGTCAATCTACAATATTTCTAATCGCAGATATTTCCTTACTGCATTTCTGCAAATCTTTTGTAGTGAGATCAATTATGATCTTAATCATAGCATATCTATGCAATTTTAAAATCACTTTGGTCCAATTTAATCCTCTGTAACAAACCTTATTCTTTTTCAGAATTGATAAAATTCTTGTTAATTGTATATTTTATATAATTTTACGGCTTTTAACCTATTTTTCTGCTGCAGTTTTCAAGTACACAGATAAAACTCACAACGTTCACAGAGTAAATGGAACTGCTTTCCAGCAATGCATGGCACCAGCTGAAAGTGAGGCTCTAACTAGTGGATTTGATGTGATCACCCTAGCTACGCCGGGAAGAAAGTGGTACATTTGCGGGGTCGGGAAGCACTGTGCGAACGGAATGAAGCTTGCCATTACTGTTTCTGCAGAAGTACAAGCTCCGGCTCCAAGCCCGGTTTCTGCAGCAGATAAAATCTCTCCATGGAAATCTTGTGCGTGGATGCTGGCATCAATGGCTTTCTTCAGGATGATGATGGCTTAATAAGAGACAGACCCAACTTCTTAATTTTCATGTTATGCCATTCTTTCTTTTCCTTTTTTTTTTTTTTTGTTGAATTCTGAATTGATATTTAGTAAATTTTATTTATATTTATTTTAAAATTTTTAAAAAAATTGTTAATTGAATTATGGCGATGTTAAATGAGTTAAAAAAAAAAAAGTAAGTTGCAAATGAAATAGATAAAATCATATTTCATGACCTTCAAAAAATATTTTGCGAGTGAATATATGATTTGTACAAAAATACAACTATCGTCTAAAATGCTAGTTAATACTTCTTTTATTAATGTACTTCTACCCATTGCATTACGAAGAGGGAACTTATATTTAATCCAGCACATAACGACATGAAGTGTCGTATGATGTCCCAACAAAATAGTTTGCAAGATTCAAGTAGTAGAAAGATATAACCTAATAAACTCTCCGTTATTCAATCTCGAAACTGTATATTTAAGGATCAATTTGTGATTGATTTTAGAGCCCAACTTGTGATTGTCAAACAATCAAAAGTTAGTTAGGTGCTTGGTAAATTTAAGAAAAAATTAATTATAGAAAAATCTTTACAATCTAGCAGCATTATGCTTTTAAAGTTTCGAATAATCTACTATTGTAATAACAATTTCAGCCTTAATTAATATACTTCTTTTTATTGATATGACAAAAGTAATGCATTTTCCGCCATTTATATTAATAGATATTAATTTTATAATGTTAAAATAATTATATGATTAATATTTTAAAAAAATATTTGATATGATATGTATATTGTTATAGAAGTTGTTGGGTTTTTGATACCCAATAAATCCCGGGTTATGATGTTAACATGAGCTAATATTATTTCATATGCATAGGCCGATGAATGAAATAAGTCCAACAACCAAGTCCATGAGCTACACCCGACCCAATTGTATTCTTTCTGGATGGCTTGAATTTTGGCCCGTTTACCTATTTAATGACCGAACTTAAAGCCTAACCCTAGAGTATATATATGGATATAACCCTAGCCTCTTTCTTGTGATGTTTTGTGAGACTTTGAGTGAGAAAAAGGAGAATCCCGACTGCCCTCTTGGTGAGTGAAAAAACAGCCCCTAGAAGTGTCCAAAACACCTATTTACTTTGTGTAATTTGTGGTTCCTTCATAGTATATCTTTGTGGTGTCTTCTCCTAGCCTTTGTGGCCACAAGTCATCATCCTTTCTTGTCTTACATGGATAAGATTGAATAGCAACTGAGGTGAATTATGTTGGTTGTGGTTTGGAGCTGGTTGGATTGGTTGTTGGTAGAGAAAAGTACGTTGGACTGAGCCTAGAAAATCACCGTTTGAAGATCCTTTTGAGAGAGCTTCCGCAACAGAAGTAAAATTATATTTTACAATACTATAACAATGATTATAATAAGATAAAAGAATATCATTATTATCAATGTTCGTTTGAATAATTGTTATATGTAGAACAATAAATCATTTTTGTACATTCACCATATGTTGATATTGATTTTGAATCATATAGTAATTCTAAAGCAAATGTTACCCTATACTTAACTGATTATTTATCAAATCGATTAATTATTAAGCACAACAAAAACTGATTATCTTGTAAGAACAATAATACCAACCTTGACAAAATCTTGAATTCAAGTTATAGTATCTTTTTTAATTCCCAATATATAGAGCACTTAAATCACCCATCCATGCTTCATTGTCACTCCATACATTCTAAATTTGATGAAAATACTAGGAATGACACTTTGTGCGGCGACGGCTTTCATGGCCAACATCAATTGCCAAATGGAAGCTAAATTTAATGAGATCACAGGAGGACACATAAACCCTACATTATCAGTTACACACTTTGACCAAATCCTTAATTGTCACAAGTTAAGCAGAATAAACAGGCTCAATGATAGGGCATTTTTCCAGGGACAGACTTGAGAGTTTTTTGTTTATTTTTTCAACTGTCAATGAAAATTTGTCAAGTATATGTGTGTCAAAAAACTCTATCATTGACCCTGTTTTTCTAGCAAAACTCTATTGTCACATATCGATTATAAGTAGATAAATAAATATATATGACTATCTCTACTAAAATTTTTACGCTGCGGTTTTAGCTTGTTTACTGTTAATGAGTGAAATTACCTTGATAGCTGAGAATTTGCAGAGCATTTGACCTTTTAGCATTCTCCGAAGGTTGAACTCTGCTACACAACCCGGGATTAAATCCCGGGTTTGACTCCAGGGCCTGGGTGTATCTACATCACATGGGGCCCGCCACCATCAAATCAAGGGCTGAGGTTGCGCCACCTTGTCCCCTGGATTCAATCCTGGGATTTAATCCCGGGATGAGGAGCTTTATTGCCGAAGGTTATATGACTTCTAAATTTTACATTTCATATTAAAATTTTTCTTTTTGGATCATCTTGAAGATACATATATATTTGGACTAAGTCATAAGAAATTTATCGAATTGGCATTATTATAGGGGTCCATTGCCGCTGTTAGGCTTTAGCCGGCTGAATCATCATTTTTGAAACCTCTATTTATAACAAATCTCATAAGCATCAAAAGAAACCATCTTCCAGCAGCAAAATATATACAAGCAAAATATTAAGCAATATTTCTTGTACATCAAAATTTTCTAAAATGTCTTCAAAAATTTTCTTCATTGCATTTTTCGTCGCGATTGTTGCAGCCCCAGCTTTGGCAACTGAATATGTAGTTGGAGATGATAATGGTTGGAAACTAAATTTCGACTACCAGAAATGGTCTGAGGGAAAACAGTTCATCGTCGGGGATAAACTCAGTATAATCCTGCAATTTTATTTCTCTTTTCACTTATTTTTTTTTT